CTGCTAAGATTCTCTTTTATACCCCCTTTGGATAATTCTCATCTGTGAAAAGATCACAATGTATAATTTCGAAGTATCCTAAATCCCAGGATTTGGAAGGTGCTAGTCTGCCACTAAACTAGCACAGAACCGTTCAGACTCCAGACATGTCATTTTGACTTCTGACCAGAAGGTGGCAGCAACACCTTTATTTTTTTAGAGCAACAACCGAGCTGAAAGCCCTGCAGGGCGGTCCAGGCCTTTAATCTGGGCACCCGGGAAGGCAGATAAAGGTGGATCTCTGTGAGTTCAAGGCCAACCCAATCTACATAGTGAATTCCAGGCCAACCAGGGCTACATAGTAAGACCCTGTCTCAAAAAAGAAAAGGAGACAGGAAAGCAGAGGGAATAGAGGAGAGAGGGAATTTCAAGCACCTCACAAGTATTCAGTTGGCCTCAGTCTGGAGCTAGACATCACAAGCAACAAGCTCTGACAGCTGCTTTCAAAGAACATACTGCAGGGAGGAGAGACTCAGGCTCAGGCTCTACACTGACGTGTGGAAGCTACATGACTTTGAGCAAGTTGGCTAATCTGTTTCTTCCCACCTTATTTTGTAAACTGGTCATAACAGTAGCAAAGGGTAGGTCATTGTTTTTTTGAGACAGGGTTTCCTTGTAGCCCTAGCTACAGTGATGACAAGAAGTGATCAAATGTGTCAAATGCTTGTCACAGTACTTGTTACATACCAGGCCTTAGTTGTTACTAAAGGACACTGAGGTAGGGCTGAGGTGGGAAAGCTGTCCAGACCACTCACTGTCTGGAAGGGGTGAAGGCCTGAAGTGGAGATAATGGGGAGAGACTTCCCACTCCTGGAGCCACTCTGTCTGTGGGAACCCTGTAGTCTAACTGGGCTGAAGACTGTCCCTTGAAAAGTGGGGTATTGGATACTTTCCGTTTGGGGTCCCCTTGGGCCCAGAAGTTCAGAGCCTATAACACCATCAGGACCACATAAGACCTGCCCTCCAAGACTAGGGTTGCTCTGCAAATGCAAGCACCCTGTCCCTCCGAGCTTCAGGTCCTGACCGAGTGATGGGGAAAAGGGACTGAGGAACCACCACGAGAGTTGATGGAACAGTGAGCCAGATATAAAACACAGCAGTCCCTTGGGTAGGAAACTTGGAGAGGAAGCACAGGGGAGGGTGGTCAGGTCTCCAAGCTGGCTTTGAATCCCTGAGCTCAAGCAATCCTCCCTCCACAGCCTCATGAGCTGAGACCTCAGCTCCATGCCATGGGGCCTCACTAGCAAAAGAACACTGAAGAGAACACTGGCCTATCCAGGCCTATCCACACATGGAATGTGTGCCTCAGTCCTGGACCTGGATCAGAAAGGCCTCAGCTGACACTTGGTTACAAGCAATTAGGAATATGTCATTGCTCCCCTGAGTCTGTTCCCTCTCTGTCATGTGGCTGGGGGTAGGGGGTGAGCAGCAGTTTTGAGCATCTGCTGTGAGCCTCGTTAGTAGGAGGCTGTCACTGGCTCCACTCTACAGAGGAGAAAACTGAAGCTCAGAGACAACAAGCAACTTACTCAGGGTCACACAGCTGGTAAGTATCCAGGCTGGTGAATTGACCACTTCTGCCTGACTCATTCCCTTCACCCCACCTTAGCCTCAGCTGCCTAGAGCCTCAGAAAAATCACAGGAACCTTTCCAGCCATAAACATTGAGCTCTCAAATCACAGATCCATGCATTACCACCTATAGTTCCCCCAGTTCCTTTGCGTTACAATCACTCTTTGGTCTTGCCAGAGTCCAGGTGTATAGACCTCTTTACTTACCTACCTCCCACCCTCTCTTGTCCACACACTCCTGACCTAGCTTTGAGTCCACAGTTCATTATTGATTGGTACCCTTGCTGGTAACCTAGACTTCAGTGTTCATCTTTCTTGCAACCTCTTGCATGCAGAGCAGCCACAGGAGCTGGGAGGGGAAATGAGGTTACTGGCCAAGCACTAAGCTTCACGTTCTGGAACTCATCTAATCTTCCCAACAATACAATGGAGGTACTATTATTAGCATCTCTGTTTATGGATAAAGAAATATGGTGGCCAGGCAGGGTGGCCCACACCTTTAATCCCAGCACTCAGGAGGCAGAGGCTGGCCCGTCTCTGTGAGTTCAAAGCCAGCACTATTTACGTATCAAGTTCCAGGCCAGTTGGGCCTATGGAGACCCTGTCTCAAAAAAAGTAAAAGGACAGAAAAAAGGAAGGAAGGAAATAGGGTGAGCCCTACAAGAAAGCCCCAAGCATAGAGCAGACACCAGGGTCCCAGGAAGGCCATCTTTCCTCCAGCTATCAGCCAGGTGGTGCTTGGCTCCTTCTACCTGGAGTCCAGGGCTGCTCTTAGTCACCAACGGGGACACTCAGGAAGGAAGCTCAGATCCTCCCTGCCCTGGAGGTTAACAACAGGGAAGTAGCAATAAAAGCAGCTTACTTCTTCAGCCTTTATAATGTGTGCTAAGAACATACATATTTTATTAACTTAATTCTCCAGGACTATGAGGCTACCATCTCCATTTCACTGTGAAGAAAGAAGGACCAGCAACGAGCCTGAATTTGTACAACAGAGGATGTGATGGGAAGTATCACAGCTAGATGACCTCTTACCCGTCCGTGACTTTTTCTCACCTGTCTTCCCATCCCAGATCTCCCAGGCCTGGCTCCTTACCACTAGAAGCCAAGCCTTCTCTGCCTCTTCCTCTTCCTCAATGTGTCCCTCATCCAGGAAGGCCTTCCTCACCCCACCCTTGCACAGCCCTGCTCGAAGGCTCTCTGGTCCCCTCTCCTCTGGGGCATCAGAGTAGTGAGTTGGGGGTTTAAACAAGGATTTGGGGTGCAGGGATGGGGAGGAGGGGTGGATGGGAATTTCATCTGGAATTCCCTGGGCCTAGGACCTCCCCTGTTCTGCCCAGTCCCTGCTTCAGCAGCTTCAAAGCCACCATTCTGACACCAGCTCCCAATTCAGACAGGCTTGTGCTGGTCCTTTGGTGGCCTTGCCTACCCTTCCCATGTGCCCCAGGCTCTTATGTCACAATTGGCACTTGGAGTCTGGGCTGGTTGGAGCTTCAGACCAATTACAGCAATTGCTCAGAGCCCAGGACTACAGCAGAAAGCACCACAGCTTGGGAGCCCCTCCTCCCACCTGCCAGTTCCCTACCCCAGCCTCACCCCTGTGGACTCCCAAGAATTAGGGTGGGGCAGGCCCCATTCTGTCCCCTCTCTCCCACCTCCTTTTCTCATTCTCCTAGCAACTGAACTAGACCCATCAAGGAGCTGGACCTGGCAGCTGAGCTGGGAGAGACTAATAGCCTGGAAGGAGGGAGGGGCCTGGAGAGGAGAGGAAGCTGGAGATGTAAGCCAGCACTAGGGCTGGGCGTTGGCTCTGGTCCATCTCAGAGGACACAGAGAAGGTGGGGGAGTTCTCAGCCCTGCAGTATGTAGGAGCTGGCCAGCAGGGAGCCGCCCTCTTAATCCAAGCCAGGCATCTAGCCTAGAATCCCAGATCTCCTTCCCTGATACCCAACTCTTGTTCTCAGGACCCCTCTGAGGCAGACCTGTCCTGCTGGAGAGTCCCAGAATCCCCAGTGGCAGCAGACACATGGCTCCTGACAAAACCAAAAGGCCTCAGCATCCTTTCTCCTGTAGAGAATCTAAGCTACCTCTGTCCACTCCTGGACAGCCCCTGACTGCATTCTGCAAGTTGTGTGACATGCAAACATCAGACACCAGCTTTCCTGCTAATTCTTGAGAGGATGTGGAGGGATGTATGGTTATGTATTTGTGTGATGTCTGTGCACACAGGTATGCAGAGCAGGCTATGCATATGCATCTGTTTGTAGCGCCTGTGAGATGGCTCGGAATAAAAAGCATCTGTTTGTGGATCTGTCTGAGGCCTCCTGTCTCCTGTTTGAAGCTGTAGGGGGTGGGTGTCTTCACCCCATCCCCCTCTACCAGCACCATCTCCTAGCTACCTGCACCTTCTCAGCACTAGAAACTGGTGCCTGCTAGTCTGTCCATCTATCCAGCTTGGCAGCTAATGCTGCTGTCCCTCAACCCCCTCCCCTTCCAACTTCAGGAATTGCTCTGGTTCCGGTAAGGCGTGTGATTGAGCAGCAATTTGTGTGGAGGAGGGAGAGGAGAATCCAGTAAAGGCGGACAGCATTCCACAGGCCCCTCAGCTCAACCTCTAGCATGGCACAGACCCTTGGAGCCCAGACACCCTCAGACCCCTAGCTGGTGCCCACCTTGTTGAGGAAGGCTTTAGGTTAAGGTTTGGGGTCTGTGTCTTTAAGGCAGAAACATCAGCAGGCAACCTCTGCTGGGCCAAGAGGAGGGGGAAGGGAGTTGGTCAGTCCATTAGCTGCGGAGCTGTCGCCAATCAGTAGCCCTTTACAGAGCCCTGGGGAGAAGTGAGAGATTAGCCCTTCCCCAGCCCCTCTACCTCTGTTCTCCTGCCCCCATTTCTCTAGGGTGTACTGAAAGGGAAGAGCTAACAACAGGTGAAAGGTGAGCCCCAGCTTCAGGAGACAGAACAAACTCCAGGGCCTAGGCCAGGTTAGCTCTACTTCCACCTGCTTTCCTTCTGATAAACTTACCCTTTTAACCTCAAGCCCTCCTATTCCCTAATTTTTACCGCCTCTTCCAGGATCCCAGCTTAAGGCAAATCCTGCCATCCTAAACTCCAGTTTTAGATGCTTGCTGGAAGGAGGAGACCCCCCTCGTCCACCAGACCCTATCCATTGCACCCCCGCCACCTCCGCTAGCAACGAGGGGAATCAAACAGGCTGACCGCCAGCAACCAGGGGAGGGAGCGGGCGGTGTCACCGCTGCGCCGCAGGGTGGGGCATCCCCCTCCCCACACAACCCGGCTCTAGTCAGGCCAGTGGGAGGAGCTGTCGTCCCCCCACCTTCACCCCCCCCACCCCACCCCCCGCAGACCGCAGGCCTATAAAGCCTCCCCGCATCTGTCTGCAGCTCCTTCCCGCCCCGGCCTAGCTCTGCAAGCACTGAATGCCATCCTCTGCCACCATGAGTCACCACCCGTCGGGCCTCCGGTCCAGCATCAGCTCCACCTCGTACCGCCGGACCTTTGGGCCGCCGCCCTCACTATCCCCGGGGGCTTTCTCCTATTCCTCTAGCTCTCGCTTCTCCAGCAGCCGCCTGCTGGGCTCGGCATCCCCGGGCTCCTCGGTGCGGCTGGGCAGCTTCCGTGCCCCTCGGGCGGGAGCCCTGCGCTTGCCCTCGGAGCGCCTCGACTTCTCCATGGCCGAGGCCCTCAACCAGGAGTTCCTGGCCACTCGCAGCAACGAGAAGCAAGAGCTCCAGGAGCTCAATGACCGCTTCGCCAACTTCATCGAGAAGGTACGCTTCCTAGAGCAGCAGAACGCGGCTCTGCGCGGGGAGTTGAGCCAGGCCCGGGGCCAGGAGCCGGCGCGTGCGGACCAGCTGTGCCAGCAGGAGCTGCGCGAGCTGCGGCGCGAACTAGAGCTGTTGGGCCGGGAGCGCGACCGGGTGCAGGTGGAGCGCGACGGGCTGGCGGAGGACCTGGCCGCGCTCAAGCAGAGGTCAGAGGGCAGGGCTGGGGCTGGGCTGGGGCTGGGCCGGGGCAGGGCCGGGGCAGGGCCGGGGCAAGGTTGGGGCTGGGCCAGGGCTGGGCCGGGGCCTAGCGAGGCGCTTGCTCCTCCCTCTCTTTCCTGCAGTCCAAGGGCGTGGCCCACGCTAGTCTGTAGCATCCTCGCCCCGGACTGAAAGGCGCCCTCTCAACACTTTGTTCTGAGTGGGGGGAGCATTAAAGGACCCCCTTCTCTCTTTACAGCCGTTAGACAGGTGGACTGAATCCTCCTTAGATCCTGGACAGCACCTACAGTAGATAGATGTGTGTGTGTGTGTGTGTGTGTGTGTGTGCGCGCGCGCGTGTGTGTGTGTGCGCGCGCGCGCGCGCGCGCCGGGCATCGGTGATCTGAGGTGAGGACTGGGAGATGGCCCCGCAGCTCAGTCTCTTTCCATTATGCTTATCAGGTTGGAGGAAGAAACCCGCAAGCGGGAGGATGCGGAGCACAACCTCGTGCTCTTCCGGAAGGTGAGTAGGGGCCACGTCCAGATAGATGGGAATTCCTCCTCTCCGTCTGCACCCCCGGCCTGTGTCGCCAGGGTGGCTTCGATGGGCTAGGGCAGGCAGACCCGGAAGGCTTGCGTCTTCCTCCTCCTGACCAGCCCTCCTTTCTCTTGAAACCCCTTTCACACCTCACAAAGGACGTGGACGACGCCACCCTGTCCCGCCTGGAACTAGAACGCAAGATTGAGTCTCTGATGGATGAGATTGAGTTCCTCAAGAAGCTACATGAAGAGGTGAGTGGTCGGGCCGTCAGGGGAGGCTTGGGAGCGGCCTCCCAGGGGCTGCAGAGACAGTGGTGATGGAAAGATTCGCTGGGTAGTCTCAACAACCGGTACCCGCGCTACAAGTGGTTCGACTCCCACCCCTGCGCCGCCTGTTGGCGGGTGGGGTAGCTACACCAGGAACCTGACCAGCGGGTTAACAGTAGCCAGGGTCTCCAAGTCCGAGCTCTGCACTTCCTAGCATCCCCTTCCGCTCATGCAAATGTCCACTCTCCAACACACGCACACTTTTTTTTGAGACCGTGTCTCAGAGCCCAGACTGGCCATGAACCTACGATTTTCCTGTCTCAGCCTCTCCAATGCTGGGATTACAGACGTTGCGCCCCTAAGCACAAACCGAGAGGCCCTCGTGGGAATGGCTCGGTAGGCTCATCCTCCACCTTTCCCCGCTGTAGGAGCTGCGAGACCTACAAGTGAGCGTGGAGAGTCAGCAGGTGCAGCAAGTGGAGGTGGAGGCCACCGTGAAGCCGGAGCTGACCGCGGCGCTGAGGGACATCCGTGCGCAGTACGAGACCATCGCGGCGAAGAATCTGCAGGAGGCAGAGGAATGGTACAAGTCTAAAGTACGAGCGCCCGGGACCGCTTGGGAGGCTCCGGGAGGGGGAGGCGCTGGAGTGGGCCGAGTCACAGCCGGGATCATCTGCCACTCTGTAGTACGCTGACCTGTCTGACGCCGCCAACCGGAACCACGAGGCCCTGCGCCAGGCCAAGCAGGAGATGAACGAGTCTCGACGGCAGATCCAGAGTCTCACATGCGAGGTGGACGGACTGCGCGGCACGGTGAGCGCTAAGCCGAGCGCCTGGGCGGGTGGGCAGACGATGAAGGGCTCTCCGACTGGCCCCCTCTTCTTCCCCTACCCCAGAACGAGGCGCTGCTCAGACAGCTGCGGGAGCTGGAAGAGCAGTTCGCCCTGGAGTCGGGAGGGTACCAAGCGGGCGCTGCACGGCTGGAGGAAGAGCTCCGGCAGCTCAAGGAGGAGATGGCGCGGCACCTGCGGGAGTACCAGGAGCTCCTCAATGTCAAGATGGCCCTGGACATCGAGATCGCCACCTACAGGAAGCTATTGGAAGGCGAGGAGAGCAGGTGAGGGGCGTGGCAGCTGGGACCAGCCAAGGGGATGGTTGGCATTTGGTACCTAGGTAGGGAATGGCCCAGCTGACAAGTGGCTTCTCCGGCAGGATCTCGGTGCCAGTCCATTCCTTCGCCTCCTTAAGTTTGAAGACAACTACTGGTAAGTCCTCCACGACTGGCTTCCAGCCTTCTCCACTTTCACCCTAATTGGGCTCTTCTTGCTCTGGCTGTGCTCAGGGGACCAAGCTCTGGCCATGTAGGTTCCTGGCCCTCAGAGACTGGTATGGAAGGCTGCAAAGAGAGCATCCCAAAACTCTCCCCTTCCTCCCTCTGTCTGCTTTCTCCAGTTCCTGAAATGGAGCCTACCCAAGATAGCCATAGCCGGAAGATGGTTCTGATCAGAACTATTGAGACCCGGGATGGGGAGGTGAGACAAATGTCCCAGCCCAGGACCCTACCATTTCTAATGATTCTGACCCCCAACCTGGCCACTGATCTTAGGGTATGGAGGGTGCATGGTTCTTGGAAGAAGGACATCAGACAAAGAAGATGGGTAAATAAGCTGTAGCTTCAGCAAGCTGTGCCAGCCTGGGGACAACACCATGGTCCCAGGGAGGGTGGTGCTGAACTGTGCCTTTGTATGCCTTCACCCCAGCAGGTGGTGACAGAGTCCCAGAAGGAGCAACTTAGTGAATCGGACAAGTCTTCCACTCACAGTTACTGAGCCCCTCATGCTCAGTACAATCCTGGACCTAAGTCTACTCAAAGTCAAATCCTAGCACTCCCCAGTCCTCAGCCAACCCGGTCCTTTGCATGTGTCATGAGTCTTTCCCAGCAAAGCCTCCACAGGCCAGCAGTAACAGGGCCTCTCCCAATCCTGACATACAGATGTTTTCCTTTCCTTGTCCTTATAAGAGGCAGATGACCCCCAGGACAAGAAGTCTGTTCAAGAATGATCCCATGATCAATAAGGTGGGCCAAAATGTGCGTTCCGCTTTGAGTTAAATAAAACTACTACTGAGAGAAACCTCTCGCTGCATTTGTCTGGGTTCATTTCTTCTCTGATTCCCATTTTCTTGACACCTGTAACTCCAGTAGGCACTGCTGGGTTTTCTCAAATTTCTGTTCCTTCTCAACTTTTGTTTGCTTTTTGAAACAGGGTCTCAGTATATGGCCCTGGTTGGCCTGGAATTTGCTACATACACCAGGCTGGCCTCCATTTCACAGAGATGCACTTGCCTCTGCCTCTGGGGTTAAAGGCATGAGCTACCACACCCATCTTAACTTTTTTTTATAACAGTCTTTCTATGTAGCCCAGGGCTAGGGGAGCAAGCCAGTAAGCAGAGTTTCTCCATGGCCTGTGCTCTAGTTCCTGCCTCTAGGTTCCTGCCCTGAGTTCCTACCTTGGATTCCCTGATGAACTGTGACCCAGAACTTGTAAGACAAAAATAAACCCTTTCCTCCCCAAGTTGGTATTGGTCAGAGTATTTTGTCACAGCAATAGAGAAACAAATTAGGATACTGAGGCTGACCCAGAAATCGCCATGTAGCCTATTCTCAAACTTGTGACAATTCTCCAATCTCATTCTCCTCAGTGCTAGAATTATAGACATGAGCCACCATGACCACTCCTCAACTTCTATCACCTGAATGTACTGAACATCCATTTGCCTGCCCTTAGGATATTGCAAGTTAACATGTCCTCACCTCCCTCTCCAGCTGCAGTCCCTCTAGATTCACCATGCCTAAAGAAGACACTGGAATTTCTCTTCTCAATTGGAATCCATCTTACACACTTTTTTGCTATTTTTTAGACAGGGTCTCATGTAGCCCAGGATGGCCTGAACTCACTATATAGTTGCTGTGTGATACTGTTCCTGGAGAGATGTGAACAAACATCTACTCATCTCATATAGGAAACAGATGACAGACCAAAGTAATAGCACCAAAGTCCAACTTGGTGAACCAATGACTTTATTGAGGTTACTTAAAGTATGGGTAGGGGCTATTAATAAGGAGCGTGGATAACTCAAATGAAGCTGCATCACCAAAAGCCCACCCCAGCACAGTGACAACCCATGAAAGCTGTAACCTGAGCTCTCTACACAACTCACAGGCATCTTGACAGGTCAAGGAGTCTCCTCTCCTCCACAGTCCTTTTGCTTATATAACCTTAGAGAGGGAGGGTTCTTCTAAATCTGGTAAATTTCAGGGACTTCCTGAGACTTGTGAGTTGTTCACTTCCTGAGCCTTTACAATTTTTCAAAATTATTTTTATTTTATGTTTATGAGTGTTTTGCCTGCATGCATGTAAGTGCACACATGTCTGAAATGTCTGCATAGGCCAGAAGAGGGTGTTGGATCCCCTGGAACTGGAGTGACCGATGATTGTTAGCCATTACGTGGGTGCTGGGACCAAGCCCAGGTCCTCTGCAAGAGCAGCCAGTGCTCTTAACCCTTGGGCCATCTCTCCAACCCCTACTTTCTGAGTCTTAAGGAGCCTCCCTTTAGAACTTCCTGAGTCTTAACAAGTTTCCCTCATTTCAATTTACACAACACTTCACCTCTTCTTCCAGCTCTTACATTCTTTCCACCCTCTCTTCTGTGATGTTTCCTGAGCTTTGGAGGGAGTGATATAAATGTTTATCTAAGGCTAAATTGGGTAACTATGCCATTGCAACAGTCATTTGTTCTGAGGAACATCACTGGTGGTTATGCATCTCTGCAGTACACATCCTATTGCAAAATAGAAGTTTCTGTCTGTGGCTGATTCAGGCTGACAGCAGCAATGATCTATGAATTGGAAAAATGTTTAGAAGAGGCTAGGTGTGGTAGTGTACTTGGGAGGCAGAGGCAAGTGGATCTCTGTGATTTCAAGGTCATCCTGCCTGGTCTACATAGTGAGTTCCAGGCCAGCTGGAGCTGCAGGGAGACCCTGTCTCCAAAAGACCGAAAAAAAAAAGAAAAAAGAAAAGTTTTAGATAGAGAGGTACAAGTACAGCACATCTATTTAACAAAATAATATCTTCCCCTTTGGGGCCTATAACCTCCTCAGTCATGGGCTTTTGTCCTGGCTTACAGGACCAGGCAAGAATTTCCTCCTATGGAGTGGGCTTTAAATCCAATTACATAGCAGTTGGCTGCACCCAAACAGCTTATGCCACTATTGTACCTGCAGTCACATCTTGCTTGGCACTTTGATAATATAGCACATAGCGTTCACAGCTGAATAGGACTGTTGGTGACAATGCTCCAACAGCATGCACGGTGCCTTCCAGAATTAGAAAAAACATCCAGCAGGGAGGAAGCTTCCAGTGCAGTCCCAGTCTGATTTCTCTATGCTTTTTAATCAACCTCTTCAGCAACAGGGTTTTATGGTTTAGTTCTGGCATGCAGCCAACAAACAGTGGCAACAACCTTATCATTTTGAGGGCCTTTGTGAACTCCTTGGCCAGCAGTTCATAAGGAGGTAACCCACATCTAACACCAGGATTTTTACTTAACAATCTTATGGGTTTTGGGAGTGTCTTCCCTCAGCCATGTAGGATAACCTTTTAAAATTGTTTGCTATTGTTTTTTACTGGTTTTATAGCTGCTCATACAAATCTCAAAAGATGCTCAAGGGTTAGAGTATTTTGTAACAAAAACTTCTTATAGAGAGTGAGCAGGATCTCTAAAGGGCCATGATCATCTATTCCAAGTAAACACCAATTGGGCCTGAATAGCTAAAAAACAGTAGCAACATCCAATAGAGTATGAAAAGTCTTAGCACTTTTTTTTTTTTGGTCTTTTTGAGACAGGGTCTCCCTGTAGGCCCAGCTGGCCTGGATTCGCTATGGAGACCGGGCTGGCCTCGAACTCACAGAGATCCCCCTGCCTCTGCCTCCCGAGTGCTGGGATTAAAGGCATGCACCACCACGCCCAGCTAGTCTTAGCACTTTTATCAAGTCTTTCATCAAAAGACCAATATTGGGTACAGGGGCATGAATGGGAGACACTATTCACCTAGCCTTCCATCATCTAGACATTTTTCTTGCGACATCTAGCCTTCTCATCCTAGGGTAGTTATTGCTATAGGGATGCTGTGCATCTCTTTACCTCTGATGGTACAGCAGGACCAGCCAATGCTACTTGGTTTGGCTTAGGTCCAGAGGCTGCACTCCGTCCTGTCATGCCTGCTACTGGAGCTGGCTCCCTTGCTCTGAAAGGCTCTGACCCAGCACTGTGGCCCTTGCCTTTCCATCACCTACACCTGGCTGCTGAAAGGCTCTGGCCTAGGTGAACATTCTCTATCCTAAATATACTTCACAACACATACTCTGAGAAGATAATTCCCCATCCCTAGGACAGGTTCACTCTTCTTGTATGAATCATTGCTCAGGCTTTAAAGCCTTCCAGAAGCTTACTAGCACAGCATTGGATTTTCTGTTGATTTTTCCTCATACAGAAACTTTGGTCTGTTTTTCTCTTCTTTCACCCCCTCTAGGTTGCTTGGGCGTGGTGGCACCAGCCTCTAATCCCAGGCACAGGCAGGCAGATCTCTGTGAGTTCAAGACAAGCCTGGTCTACATAGTGAGTTCTAAGCCAGCTGGGGCTACAGGGAGACTCTGTCTCAAAAAGACCAAAAACAAACAAACAAACAAACAAACAAACAAAACCCCAACAATCATGTCTCACCATGGGGTCAGGAAAGCCAGTACAGACCCCACAGTTCATATCATTCCTGAGGTCCCTGCTTAATCAATCTCCATATAAAAACAAACAAAAAACACCCTTGTAAACACAGTTCCATCAGACCCAGTGAGCCAGCATCAAACACTGTCTCTCTTATGCCTAATTCTGTCCTTCCTCTATTACCTTCCAATCCCTGGTATTCAGAGATGGTGAAAACAAATGTCCCTAATGGTTCCCATGAGCTGGTCCGCCCGAGATGGATTTCCCTCATATTTCCTCGGGCTATGTAGCTTTCTCAGCAATGGATGAGTAGTTCCATTACTCAGTTTCTCCACTTTCACAGTTCCAATTGATCCCATTCTCCCCATATCCCACAGCCTCATGAACCAGTCCATGAGAGGCTCTTTAATCGCTTGTTTAAAAGTCTTGCCAACTCAAACAGTTGAGAGACATCACACTCCCTGACGATCATGGTCTCTGTGTGTGTCAGGTCCCCAACATCATGGATTTTCCCTTTTTCTTTATTAAAGGCAGGACTTGAGGGGTACGTTTTATCATCGTCACCTTGTTATCTTCTTCATTATCTAGCTCTTCCCAAGGCAAGTCAAGGCCTCTATTTTTTCCTTCCTCTACGTCCATTTCCGTTCCAAGTCAGAAACTAACGTAGATAGAGGCTGCTAGCCATCGCATGACCTTTTACTATTATAACGTCTCCCTGAAACAAGTACGTTCTTTCTGGGAAGAAAGTCGGGCCACACAACATCATGCTTCAAATTCTGCCTCATTCGTGTCACTTTGAGGGATTGTAATACATTTTTTAATCATCAGCTGTTTGGGGGGCATTCCCACACTTATGAGGTAGACCCCACTCTTCAATGAGGCACGCCACTTTCAAGTACAGTGAAATGGCAAAACTGACTCCATTTTATTCTAGCTGACATTTGCTTACCCTGCTTTTCTACCCAGGTATTTCCCCTGCTCTTACTATCTGCAGCCAGGCAGAACATCCCATGGAGGTTGCACCTGCATTTCAGGGGATACGTTATTTCTACAATACTGCAAAACTTGTTTTTTGTCTTTGTTTTTGTCTTTTGTCTTTTTGAAGCAGGGTCTCCCTGTAGCCCCAGCTGTCCTGGAACTCACTATGTAGACCAGACTGGCCTTGAACTCACAGAGATCTGCCTGCCTCTGCCTCCCAAGTGCTGGAACTAAAGGCGTGCGCCACCACACCCGGCTAAGGAACTCTTAATTTGACCATCACTATGTGGTGTTCCTCTGTACCTTTTGCTTGCTATTACAAGGCCACCCTGGAACACACACACCGACATTTCATTCTAAGACAGCTCAGACTTGGCAGCATGTGTTATCATCCA